CAGGCAACCAGATGACGTTCCAGTGACGTCTTTTTTACGTCACTTGAATGACCAAGGTGACGTCAGTAGTTGACGTCGCATTGACGTGATAATGACGTGAATAAGTCACAGCCCAATGACGTCATATTACTCACGTCGTATTGACGTCATTCACTCACCAAACTGTGACGTCCGACTGACGTCATAATGACGTCAAAATGACGATTAGATTTGGCGATGATACGTAAAAAAGATTCCTTCAACATGGTGTGATAAACACCACTAGCCTCTGATGACATTATATAATATTGATTATGCATTGTTGAGTCTGCTTGGTGGGTCCCTCCTGTGTCATGTTCATTCAATCGCCTATTCAGCAGCGCCATCCTTCAGTACGCATCTCCATCAGAATGCAATCAGTTACTCGTATTTGTATAAAAAATTATGTAGTTTGTGTCGGCGAGATGTAAGCAAACAAAGAATAGTTTGATAGCAATGGAAAGGATGTTGGCGAATTTAGCTTCACTTTGTTGAATAATGTATATTGATGCATCCTTTACCACCCAACAAAAATCTAAATAGCTAATTATTGAAAAATTTCCTAAATGACGAAGCTCACCAAATTGGTACGTCACACCGACGTGATTTTTAGACGTCATAGATACGTGACTGCAACGTCATAAGAGTAACGGTTTCAATATAACCTAAACTATCATTTTTATATATACATAGCTTGTTGGTTTCCGAGATATACAGTGTGTCAAAGTTTTTTAGGAAAAACTTTTTCTACTACTTTTCGGGTATATTAATAATTAGAATAAAACTTACCTGTTGATTCGCTTTAATGAGTTATACTCCTGTTTAACATGATAATACATAAGTATCCGTCGTTTATAGAAGGTCTGGGAAAACTGAAAGTCGACAGGACGTCCCTGCAACGTCATGAAACTGACGTCTTCTTTTACCCATATAAGTGGCGTTCACTCGACGTCGAAACGATGACGTGATTATCACGTCATAGGAAGTACGTCATAGTGACGTCATAAATTGGTGTGTGACGTCTCTGACGAAAAATCACCAATTAGGGACGTCACAGTGACGTGATCATTCGTCATCTGGTTGCCTGGGATTTTTCAAAGTAAGCTTTGATTATTAAAATGCAATAAAATCGCTCGCTATCAAACCTAATTTCTGTGAAACATTTCGGTGGTTCGTCAGCATTATTATGGGTGTTTCCTAAGAGACCCTATATCTCGGTTTACTCAACTTTTCAACTGAACCATTATTTATGGGACATCCTGCATTTATAGTAACTACTTGCTGTCCCGGCGAACGTTGTTCTGCCATAAACATTATTTCTAGACAATATATTTTCAGTTCAATATTCACTTTTGCTATTTCATTTTCTATATACTTCTTTTTAGTCTGGCTATCCATGAAACCGTGTTTCTTTGGTTTTTCAAACTACTATTTTTTTTTATTTTCTACTTCTTTATAGTTCGAAAATCTATCTCTTTAGTTTTTCAAACTATATCATATATTTTCTACTTTTATTTGGTTTGGCCTCGAGTTTGGCTATTAATAAAAGCGGTTCCATTATAGTTTTTCAAATTACTATTTATTACAAAGCTCGTTCGCCATATCGGATCAGCCATCTTGAATTTTACAATTTTGACGAAAAAATCACATCTCCGACCCCGAAAATTCCCATATACAAATTTTGAATAGAAACGGATCATAATTACCAAACTCGCCCGCCATATTGGATCCGCATCTTGAATTTCCAAATTTTGGCCAAAGAATCATAATCTCCGACCCCGAAATCAGTCAGATACCAATTTTGAATAGAATCGGATAATAATTACCAAACTCGTCCGCCTTATTTTGAATTTTCAATTTGCAAAATAGCTTACGACCGATTCCCAGACCTATCAAATATGTACAAAAAATTTCATACAAATCGGCCGATCCGTTTTGGAGGAGTTTGGCAACAAACACCGTGACATGGACATGAGAACTTTATACTTATATTAGATTTTAGATAAAATGTGTAAATCCCATTAAAATGAATCCACCACTGACAAAAAACTCAAACCTCGAGGGGCGATTTTATGGGTGACTTTAAGATGAAAAAATTATGTTAACAAAAAAGAACAGTTTATTCTAATTTTGACATGTAATTTGACACTTTACAACACTGACGAAAGTTTGGTAACGTCTTACTTTACGTAACCAGTTCCGTAAAGTAATATTATATTACGTAATATAGGTATGTGTTGTAAGAAGCATATTATGAACATATACTTTTAAATAACACCCTGTATATTTTCGATCAATTATTTCGATATTTTAGTCATTAGAATCGAAATATAGGTAGTACGAAACACCGCAAGCTCAACTCCGCCATAATTTTCCTTGCCTGTTTATATTCTAAGACAAAATATCGAATGTTCACATGCCGGTCATGGCCGTGCCAAACAGTGTTGTCGAACTGTTAGGTACAATTTCGCATATTTCGCTTTTCAGGCAAGCAACATTTGAACTGTCAAAAATGTGCAGTTTTGAATGTACCTGGTGCATCAGCTAAAACGCCTATCAGTATTAACGAAATTGGTGGTTATCAACGTGTTTTTACGGATGTTGATTGATTGATATGGCTTCAGGAGATCAGATTCACTTGCCAAGAAAATCTCCTCTCCTGGCTAACCACCAGCACCACCAGCCATCAACTCCACACTCCGTGGAGGATTGTTTTATATATCCTCATTATATCAAGTGTTTGTTTTGTTAGATATTAGATAGATATGTAGATAAGAAATGATTTTCTGTGCGAAAAGCTCTACTTTATTCCTCTCTGCCAGCTATCTTGAATTAAGTGAAGTGGCCGAAAACACATTTTCTAGTAATTTTAATGGTATAAGGAATATTTCGACTCTTATTGTTTCGTCTCAAATGCCAGAACGGTCGAGAACCAGTGCCGGTCGGTTAACCAGTGCATCTACCCTAGTATCTTATAAAACTTGAATATTAAAAAATATAGTATTTGCTCATCAGGTAGAATATATATAATACAGGGTCTCTATAAATGATGATACATTTTTTCCATTTGCCGCTTTCTACTAATGCTGTTAACAACATTTAACGAACAAAAAGAGAGGAAGTGATCATATACAGGATCTTTATTTATATCGTTTTGCATACACTATGGAAATGTATCTCAAAGAAAGGAGAGTCCAATATTGGAGTAAGAAAAATAACGGAACAAATCAAAAATATTCACTAAAGAAGTAATAAATAACGGTTTATTTCATTAACCTACATCAAATGTTCAAATGTTCAAAATGTTCTACGTTGTTCTCCAAGCATTTCAAAACTCTTCGCCGTGTGTTGTCGAAAATGTTCCTCAGCATTTCCGGGCCAATATTTTGGCAGCAATGTGTTATTGAGGCTTGCAGCTCTTCAAGGTTATTATTGTCTCTCTTAAATACTTCGTCTTTCAAATATCCAAAAAGGCAGAAAATCTGGAGAACGTGTTGGAAAAGAAGGATTAACTCCTCGACTTATCACACGGTTGTCATGAAATTCTTGTAAATATTCTAAATTTTCTCGTGTGGTGTGGGCAGTGGCCCCATCTTGCTGAAAATAGCCAACTCGAATTTCTTCATCATCAAGTTGATTGATGATGAATGGTTCTAACATCACTTGTCTGTACCTTTCACCATTGATAGTGCCATCGAAGAACATCGGTCCATATATTCGCCTACGAGAAACTGCTAACCATACTCCAATTTTTCGAGAATGTAGTGGAGTCTCAATGGAATTGTGGGGATTCTCAGATCTCCAAAACCTAAATTTTTTGTGAGTTCACGTATCCCGAGACAAATGAAACCAAGCCTCATCGCTAAAAAATGTTAGGTCCAATAGCTGGTGATCGTTGAGATTATTTTGGAACCATTGGCAGTACTCCAGACGACGTGAGATATCTATTGGCAGAAGTTGCTGTAGTACACTGGTCTTGTAAGGGTGCATATGCAAATTTTTCTTGAGCACTTTATGGCATGTACTTAGTGGGGCACACCAGATTGTAAAGATAATCTCTTCAATGACGTTTGGGGATTTGGGGCCTTTCTGTTGATTTATTTTTATTAACGTTTCCAGTTTGGATGAATCTGTTGATCACTGTTCTGATGTGGGCTTTCAAAGAAGATTCTTGTATCTGTCCATTAGGATAATTCGCCAGGTACTCATCCTTGCAGGCTACTACTGAGTAACTCCATCCACCATTGATGAATGTGCCATTTCGACAATGAGACATTATATACAATAAATATATTCTGCTCCGAGGAATAAGCCATCCCTCTTTTCAACACAACAATCACGAAGTAGAAAACAGAATCGTTTGAAAATTTCAACTAAAAACTGACAATTGTGAGTGTATCAGCTATGACAGTATAATGATTGATGTCAGAAATTATTAAATTCGAATGTGTGAATCTCCATAAATGAAAGGCGGCAAATGGAGGAAATATTTCAAAGGCTACTACGATGTTACGATCATTTATAGAAACCCTGTATATACCTGCATTGATATATGATGATAATTATTACTAAACGAAACATTTGTTTAGCGAAAAAATAATATAATCAGCATATTATTGAGAAACACATCATAAAATACAAAATACAAGGCGATCTTTTATGGAGAATGATCAGTTTTTCAAGAAAAAAGTTTAGAGATCAAGTAAAATATCATGATTACATCCAGATAATCCTAGAACACTTATCACTTATTTAGTAGTTCGTCTGTAGATATCATAACCAGGATGTTTGTACAAAAAATTAATTCGTGAGATTAAGATTGTTCTCGTTCTAAAGAAATTAACTTAGACTTGGCAATGCCACAGAGCATAAAATCCATATACTGACGTCACACTGAATGGATTCTCGCGTGGTCGATTCTCGCATTCGGAACCTACGATATACGATATTGAAGGTGTAAGGTGTAAAGTTCAATAATTTTCATTGTATTTTAGGCTCAGGCTTTACATGCTCAGGTTGTGCGATTGTGAATCGTGACTCGTGGCGTAATGTGCACATTTTCTAGGTTATGCTAAATTATAAAAGTACCAATAAGCTTTTAAAAAAAACTAAAAATGCTGAATTGAAAACAGACTCTGAGGATACCTGTGGAGTCATTAATCTATGCCTGTACATATAATAAATTAATATAAATGTACCAACCAAGACTATAGGTAATTATGTTCTGTAATACATACGAGTATTACTGAGCGGTTTTCGAGGAGTTTTTACCGTGAAACTAGTTCAATTCCATTGAAATGAAACCGGGTGAGTTGAATAAAATTGTGTAGGTAATGGAGTTGCTATATATATATATATATATATTATAATAACTACCGAGTATAATACCGACCTATACAATATTTTCTATAGTAGTAAATTACGTCTAAAATCTCTCCCGCCTCACGCAAAGTACCCAAAAGCTCCAGCTTTTCTGCATAGAACAATATACATACATATCCCAGAAAATACAAAACTGCTGTGTTAGATTTTCATTCAACCTGCGAAAATTGGACCGCCATTGCCTTCGAGAAGACGATATGGCTGTCTATCGAAAATCGCTTCCAATTGCACTTGGCATGTTCAATTTATAAGCTGAATAAAAATCATGCACCCTTATATCATTTGAAAAAGCTGAATGAAGGTTGTCAAACTCATACACAGATCTGCCCTTAATGAAAGCTCATTTAGTTACAATGCAGCCAAGCAGCATAACAGATTGCCCGCGAATATTAAGAATGCAGCAGGTTTGGCTAGCTTCAGAGAGCAGGTCAGGTCTGTTATGATAGATTCTCCCATATGAATATTGTGAATAGTAACCTTTCCTATATCATAAATTGATGACTTATTATTTTTGTATAACTGTATTTGGTACTATCAATGTAGCTTGTATACCCTCTAATAACTCGCTGAATGTTTAGCTGTAATGGAGTGGTTATGTGGAAGAGCAGCTCCGCTGAACATCGCCACTCCTTCTCAACTTGTACATGTTGACATTTTGATGAATGAATAATGAAGCCGCATTATTATTATTATTATTATATACCTACTCATGAGATATACGAAAAAACATATTTAAAATATAATATATACAGTTCGAATTAATGATTGATCTTTTTGCTTGTTCCGTTTGGCGCTGGAATACTGGACCGCTGTCTTGCTCGACACAAAATTTATACATACAATTAGTCTGCTACCAGTGCTACCTATCCAAAATTCAGTGGATTAAATTATTGGTTTCCGTTTGGAAAAACAAAGCTGACCCAGTAATTACTTTCGAAAAGATCTCAAAGTTAGAACATGATTTAAATATATACTAAGCTCTTCAGATGAAACAACTTTGATCCCTTGTTTTTTCCAAATTACATAATTTTCGAGATTTCTGGTAACTCGAGTTGAACGCATCACACGCTGTATATAGTTACTCAATTTTTATATCCATTGGTTTAATACCTTCAATCAAATAATTAGTATGACAATGGAGGAGATAACAAATGTCAATAATACCTGAGACGCCGACATTATTTCTCGCGAATCGTTTTCTTCTTTCCACATTTTACCACACATGTATTATTTATTATTTTGTGTGATTGCATGTGAGTTAGTTATCATGAATTTCGCAGCATAGTCTTGTGTCCTCAAAAATATGAAGGGTGAGATTTTCACTTGTATTTTATTGAATGATCTTTAAAATATCTGGAGAGTTCATCGACAAAACGCGTTAAATTTGGTATATATTGGGTATAATAGGTAATGGTCCTGTTTCAGTGAGAAATTTTTCATTATCCTGAAGTACGAACTATTCCACTGTCGGAAACAGTTTTCTCCTCATAGCTTCGTATATTCTTCAAATAATTAATGAGCTCCACGATATTTATGCATACCATAAAACACGCCGGAAAACGGAAATTTGACCGTGTCGACATACACCGTGACCAATACGAGGCAACTAAATACGATTAGACTTATGTATTGTCTAAATCTCAGTACACCTCTACGGTGAAAGTGAATTCATCCTATCTGGTTATATGAGGCATAAATCAGTTTGAATCTCATCTCAACATATTTTATATAAAAAAATTGAAGATGACGAAGATGAATTATTCTCAAGTTAAACTATAGAAACAATACTTATCGGATGAACATTATTTCACATTATTTACAAACAAATCCAGAACAACACTTTCTTTTAGCTCGAATAACAGTGATAATGGATTCCCAGAAATACATTAAAATAAATAATGAAGTGATGGAGGAGGGATAGGTGTACTTTCCCCTTCTTATTCGAAAGAAAAAAGGAAACCGTTGGTCTTTCGCGAATTTATGATACTTCTAGAGATATTTTTGGCAGGTATTTGTTGCTCGAAATGTGTATAAACTGGCATTTCCATTTATAGAACCAGAAATTCCTATTCGTAGGAATTGACGTTTTCAATATAGTACTATCATAAAATCCACAGACTCCAGATCCTATAAGACCTATACCAGAAAGTTGTATTTATTCCTTGATCTGTATGGTCTGAGAAAATTTTCAAATAGTCCTTGATCCATTTGAACCGGAAGTGAGATCACACTCGTTTTTCTTACCTGCATATTATGACTTTTTTGAATTCTATATGAAATTCTTGAGCTACTGCAATTTGAATCGTTTTCCTATTTAATTTTTCTTTATATATCGTACTTTATCAAAAAATGTAGGTAGTGACTAACTGATGAGAAAAATCATTTTTGGTATACACGTTACCAACTAAGAATCAGTTAGGTCATAGATCTAATTACATTGTGTAATTAGATCTATGGTTAGGTGAAACATTCACGGAAATTAAAATATTGACAGCTCGTAAACACCTATTATTATTCACCTACTATTCATAGATTTCTATGACGAGACGCCTGCAAATGAATTCCGTTGTCTAAAACATAACTTGCTTAAAATAGGGCATTATCAGTTGGCACACAGTATTAAAATACCAAGCGGAATGATTGTTGATTGTTTATTGGTTGTTAATCGACGAGAAACAATTGGCAGTCTCGAAAGTTAACAAAACAATATCGTGGTGGGGTGGTCTATCAAGCAATCTGGAGCTCCTTGCGATAAATGAGACCAATGTGCACAATCTAAGTGCAAACATTCATTGGTTTCCTCATAGCGAGTGTCCCTTGGACTGTGACGAACATAGTTCATAATATATGGTCCAAATTTTTCATGGCTTGCAATTGGTAAACAAAATATTTGGAATCGGAATAATTTTCTGTTCAACATAGGTACACAATGTGTAACTAGATGAATTGAGTTTGTGAGTTGACATAGCAATTGCTGGATGAAAATTTCGAACTCCATTTACATTCAGTAAAATTTTAGTTGTAAGTATTTCTATTTTCTTAGAACCAATTAAGTACACTTTCTACGATGTTATGAATTATCTGGAGTAGTTAAGTAGCGATTACTGATTAATTGGAAATAATAACATATTTTGACATGAAATATATCCTCGTATTTTTCGTCTGCTTTTCCTTGTTTTATCGAAAACAAAACAAAGGTAACAGAATTGCATATCTCACGCTATACATTTTTATTTTGAATCCTAATATACGTCTTCAATTTTTTTTCGCACTCCTAGGACTCACGTCTACCTTTCAGTCCTTTATCATTTCAAAGTAAAACTGACAAAATATTGTGACATTGAACCCGATATTTATGGTAATTTTTCCCGAAACTGCAAAAATATGTATAGTGTATCACCATGGAACTAAATACATGGCTCAATGGGCTTATATCACAAAAAAATTATTCTACAATTCGATAGAGCTCACCCAAACTAGCTCACCACCGCAAACCGTTTCTTGCTGTGAGCTCCCTATACGTTTTATAAAAAATTATTGAATTCCCCGATTTTTCGGACCTCTGAAAACGAGGTGATGATGTGACGTCAAAACCCTAATACTGAAACAAGACTATTCCAGACAGAGATGAATTATATGTAACTAGGGTTGGTTCTACCGAATTAAAAAAGGCTTACCCCTTTGATCACGTTTTTTTCTTCGTTCGGTTGTGTTATCACATGATTCATCATCAGGAAGCTTTGGGTCCCGGAAATATTTCGAGCCCATGGGAAAATCTCACAACTCATTTGGGACTGCATAAAAAACTAATTATGCAGGAACAACATAGCTTCTGGGTGCACTGATTGGACTACAACCATTCGATAGCTTTGGGGCCTCCTTACAGGAGGAACTCAGAACAGAAGTAGAAGAATAGCGACAGACTTCCTGGATTGCGGCAAGCCAAAAAGATTTCCAACCAATGGAGACAGAAATAGAAACGTTCTATATACACTTCAAAACGATGAGGAGACACTGTAGACTCGGGGAACATCTCAGGAAGCTGGTACTTGGAGGAAAACAGCACTTATTGTTGATTATGTGTCAGCAATGGAAGTAGAAAATATTATGCACATACAAACCCTTTCAAAATACTAAGAACAAAAATCTTTGAGAAATGAGATAACGATAGATCTAATCTGGAGCAGCTCCTCAACAATGGCATTTCATTCTTTCTTTTTAATTTTATAAAATTCTCATGTCACGGTGTTTGTTGCCAAACTGCTCCGAAACGGCTTGACCGATTCGTATGAATTTTTTTTTACATATTTGGAAGGTCTGAGAATCGGTCGTAAGCTATTTTTCAAATTGAAAATTCAAGATGACGGATGCGATATGGCGGACAAGTTTGGTAATTATAATCCGATTCTATTCAAAATTAGTAGCTGGTGGTTTTCGAGGTCGGAGATTATGATTCTCTCGTCAAAATTGGGAAATTCAAGATGGCGGATCCAATAGGACGAATTATTATGATGCTATTCTATTTATAATTGATATCTGGGGGTTTACGGGGTCGGAGATTATGATTTTTTCGCCGAAATTGGGGAATTCAAGATGAAGGACCAATATGGAGAACGAGCTTTGTAATAAATAGTAGTTTGAACTAATGAAACATGCTTAAAGATAGCCAAACTGGAGAGATGTATAAAATAAAATAATAAAAGTGTGTGATAAATATTCTACTAACTAATGTATGGGTATAGCATAACAACGTTTCAGCTAGTACCCTCTTATATTTTCTTTATTCACATGTTCTTAACTCGATCACCCGAATAATAAATTTTCTTCTTTGACTTCGTGATTTATTTCCCCGTTCAATAATGGTATAAAGCGTTTCCAATAAGCTAATTGCTGAGTTATTGAAGCACAAAATAATGAATATTTGTTGATAATACCTCGATTATTATGTACCTAGCATAACTCCCCTTTTTTTCAGTTACTTCAGAGATGATTTCCCAGCCCCTTTTCGGAGCATGGGACTACGTAGTTCTTGCCCTAGTATTGGCTACCTCATCAGCTATAGGTATATACTACAGATTCACAGGCGGAAAACAAAAAACAATGAAAGTAAGTGAAAAATGTAATGAATGACGCGGAGTGTTGGGCATATTTTTTATTGTTCACGATAATTCGATAAAATGTCTCAACGTTAGTGTCAATGAATTGTACTTTTATTCTTATCCAAAGAAAAACAAGTTGGAATAGGCATTATTTTTTCGTATCTTTGAATGAAACGTATACATCATTGATGTATGTTCTTTTGTTCATTGTTTTATCATTTTCATTGATAGTCAATCACGATGCCGAGGTACTGTCGGTTCGAATCTGGCTATCGGCTGAGCATTTTTCTAAAAAATCTGTAATTTTTTGTTGTAATCCTGGCAAGACTACGGCGCCCTGGAAGTGGTTCGGAGTCCATTATATAAGCTGTAGGTCCCGCTCTTCCTAACACCGCACAAGTTTCGACTTCTGGGGTGTTGGTTCCTAACTTCGAAGAAGCGATATACAAATTTTACAAAATTTAGAAACATTTTCAACATAGTTATTTATGTATCACGGGCGTAAAATAGGCATTAATGGACCGTAGTAAACAACCAAACCAATACAACGTGGCAAGCAGTGATAACCTACTTCTGATTTTTTATTGTGAATACCTCTTTCCCTTTCAACAAAGATAAAACACAATAAATTTGTTTTTTTTTTCATGTCAATTAATCTATTCGAAGCATCTTCGACGGTTTCCTGCAAAGAACTTGCGGTAGGTTGGAATATTTGATAAATTCAAGAATCAACTTCTATGAGATGAGATAATAATATATTCATAATCCACCCGATGATTCGAGGTTATGATAATCGCAAAGTTGCCCAAGCACGGTTCTGAAAGTTCGAACTCTAAGCGAGCATCGAGTGAATTTGCAAGCAAGTGAAAATCATTTCTCGACATCGGTTCGCTCTTGGCATTTTCTGTGGAAAAATGCTACAATCTCAGCTACAATAGTATATTGTTTAACGAGCACGGAATAATAGTGATTTCCTAGGAGAATGAAGTTTGCAGCATGAGTCGTAGGCGAATGCTGCAAAGCGGAACCTACCAATTTTTCGGTATTCCTATCAACATGAAGATCAGCGTATACCGAAAATTATTCAGTAATTTACCAAATTATAGTAAAACACTTTCGGTTTCTAAGATTTTTTTTCACAATTGAAATTAGAAAAAAAATCCGCAAAGCGTGATATATTTTTATATTACTCAAAATATTTTCAACATTGCCAGTATCAACAGCTATAGCAGAAAGAACATTTTCGACTTTACGAAGGCTTAAATCATATTTAAGAAATACTATGGGGGAAAATAGGCTGAATGGCCTTGCCAATTTGAATATCCATAGAGAGGTACATGTAGATACGAATGAGGTATTGAATATTTTGACAGAGAGAGGACCTATAGGAGGCTGGATTTTGTTTTGAAAATTCCCGTTTTATTACCTACCTAGTTTGTATAGTTGAAAAATAAAAAATATTCGTTAAATTTTCGACAGTTTGCTTATTTACCCCTTCTTTATTAGGGTCAAAATGCAAGTCTTTTAGACACATTGTGCCCCTCCCAGGCCTGAGTCCTGGGTGCGCCAATGTTAGACAGAGCTGTCGTTGCTTGAAATTTGACAATCCATGGGCTATGAGTTTTTTTTTTACATACCTAATAACACAATGAAGTCACTTTGATATCAGATACGGAAATAAAATTGATGACATACAAAGTACCTCATTGATGTATCGAACACAGTAAAACAAGAGCAATCTTGTGCATGACCGTAGAAAATTAGTATATTAAAGTATACATACCTAAGAGGTCATTTAGGTCTTTGAGATCATGAATATGGAAATAACAACTAATTATGTGAACATCTGTCAGTGATATTATTTGACGTTACATGCCTGTCATTCAGACTTCACGCTGCCGTGGTAAAATCATTGAAAAACGAGCATTTTTAAAAGTTGGAATGGAACACGCCGAGGCGTACTTCAAATAAGCGAAATAGGGTTCCGAAAAAAAAATAATCGATAATCTCATTTCTTATTTTTTGTATTTCAGGAATATTTGCTAGCCGACCAGAACATGTCCATTACTCCTGTTGCCTTTTCACTTATGGCCTCTTTCATGTCAGCCGTAACACTATTGGGCGTATCCAGTGAAAATTACACCTATGGCATACAGTTCATCGTCATCAACTTTTCCTATGGATTGTTCACGCCAGTAGCAGCCTATTTATATCTACCTGTATTCTTTAAATTGCAAGCCACCAGTGCATATGAGGTAAACTATAGATATATATATTTGATCGTTTCCATGCAAAAAATATTATCGACAATATCTATCGCTGTTGTTCCACTCTGTGTTGAAAACTATAAGAATAATGAAATTTGAAAAACTTCGGTTACTCTACACATTATAAGTATGTTTATTTCTTGTCGATTTCAATAATGATTTCAAAATATCTACGCTACGCGTCGGGAGACAATCAACCTAATCTAATAACCCAAAATCTAATATTTTTTTAACGCTATTTTTTTCTGTGACAGGAAAAAGTACGAATCGATATTGAAAAGAAATTAAATTATATCAAAATCATAAAATTATCGACGATAAATTTGAAGTTTTCAACAGGAATTACACCTGATGCGTTGCAGGCATCTTCATCATTCTTTTGACGTAATCCAATAAGTATCTGTCAGACTTATTCTGTGATTCAATTGTTAAAAATTGCGAATTTAGTGGTTGTTTAGTAATTTACGTGAAGGCGAAGAGGAATGGAAGATAAAAGGACTTGCAGTTTGTGGCGAAACTCTCTTAATCTCTGGGGGTAGTTTATATGGGTCCACACTGTATATGTGGTTTCTGGGTAAGAAAAACTCGCTAAGTCGGACAGACCAAGTTTTAATTCCACCCAATCGTAGCATGCGTCTAAAAACTGACAGAGAAAACCAAATACAACCTTTTTTTTCCACGATATGATCCGAATACAATTGAAAAATAAGTAGCAAAGATAATCGAGTCCAGTAAACTATAAGCAGTATATTTTAATGACATAACTCACCTCACAGATCAGGCACACTGTTGCTGAAATAAGTATATTTCAGGACATATGAGAACACAAAGATTCTGTGCAGTCAATGGCAAACACTTTCGAGATTTGGGAAAACTTTTTGGTTGACGATGTCAGCTTGGATATATTTTACGCACTGAACACTCCCAAGAGCCACAACGTTCGAAATTTTTACTTTATTATAAAAACGGGAGCTCGCTTCTTTCGGTATCCAACAAAAACTAGAAACAACTAAATAATTTTGAAACAAGGATTCGGACACAGGAGAGTACCGTTACCACCGATGTTTTATCGGTGGTAACGAGAGTACCCGTGGGGATAATGATAAAATATGAAATGCTATAGAATTGGGGTGATTATTTCGGGATATGACTGGAATATAGCAATCTCGTATTGGTTTCGCTACAAGTTCTTTCTCGGAGACGGTGTTATTGGCTTATTTTTCGGAACTAGCACAACAAAACCATCAACAGTAATATTCAGGAAAAAAGTAATTTATGAAAAGTCACATTTTATAGCCTGTCAACAGAGATGAACTGTCAAATTTTTCACAGAAAAATAGATATTTACGTAACGAGTTAGGAAACGCGTCATTTTGTGAAAAGTTGGGATTTTGAGAGTTACACAAAACGTGTTTCCTAACTAGTTACGTACAATATTTCTTCTAATTTAATTTTTAATGAAGAATCTGGATTGAACAGAAATGATGACCAGTTCTACCGATTATGTACAAAATTTAGCAGACAAGTTTAACAGGCCTTTTCATTTAGATGACGAATGACTATCTCTGTTTACATCTCGCATCCAACGACAGTGGCGGCCATTTTCACCGAAACACTTACACCACAGTACCACACTCCTCAGTAACGAATAAGTAACGTTTTTTGGAATTAAATTATTATAATACAATTAATACACACCAGGAATATAAAAACAAGAATACTATGTTGTTATTGTTGTTTCTCAATGACAAATGCTCATGCCAATCAGCATTTTGTGTTGGAACTATACCCAATGAGACTTCACCTTCGCATTACCCAATGAATTTTTGGATCTAAAAACGAGCGCATGCGTCTTAAAAATATATCTAGATGAAAAGGCCTATTCTCCCGTCGCTTTGAAGTATTCGTCGAACAATAATATGGTCACAAATCAGCGATTATGTCGCTTCATTATATAATAATAATTATTATTATTATGATATGTTTTTATTCATATCTAGGAAGAGATTATTGGACACAGCCCTCAGACAGAGTTAACCGCAGACAAATGTTTCAAGGCTTTCTGCACTCATCAGTACGGTGAAAAAAGTGCCAAAGATTAGGGCCGAAAGCCAGAGACACGTGTTGGCGGTCAAGTCTTTCTGAGGGATATGTCCAATAATCTCTTCATAGTTCCCTCGATATTCCTTCCATCTTTATTTGTATCAATATATGCGATACAAAAGGGCGGAATTCAGCCGCACACATTCAACGAATGTATGAGGCTGCTCTTCCAATAGACTCGTTTGATATTTTCATTGGTGGAAAATGGCTGATTCAAGTTCAGTTTCCCCTAGTGATATCGAGAAAGCACTATTCTGTTCGTCCATCCATTTTTTTATTTCATAACTGGTTTCGAACAGTAAGACGTTTCGAAAAATGTCAAATACATGTCAAAATCATAAGAAAATATTTCATGATTTTTTTTAATTTACAGTACTTAGAAAGAAGATTTGGTAAGGTGGCTAGATTAGCAGCATCTTTATGTTACACCCTCCAAATGACCTTATACATGGGCATAGTTCTATATGCTCCAGCCTTGGCACTAGAAGCACTCACAGGGATATCTCAAGTAGCTGCCATTTTGTCAGTAGGTTAGTATAACGATGTTAGTACATAATGATTGGCCATGCCATCACCATGAGTTTATATCCTAAACATTTCGACTCTCCTCGCTCTCCTTAATATGGAAAAATTTGATATCATCTGTCCATCTTTGTTTATTCATTCGCAATAACAAAATTTTGTTTACCTACATAACTACACCACATATCAACAACACTACCTTAAAATCCTTATTAAGATGACTCAACGTTGTCTCCTGCCTGTGTTGATCAATAAGAACGTCTAGAATATGCACAGAATACAGGCTCATCGTTACCTCACTACTTATTCATCGCCATCATCATCTTTATTATTATTCCCAAGAAACAATTCACAAATTTAATATGTTTATAACAAGAAAATTGAAAGAAAAAATTGCATGGCATTAAATTTAATATTGAATAGGTATAAATTATTCTGATAATACTTGAGAGATGATTCACGTTTGAGTAAATGAATGATTCAAACAATTGATATGCTATAATATCTACATTGTGAAGATAATGTAATTTACATTCTCGGAGATTTTTTCAATGACTATCCTGTGTTTAGAATATTACTTACTTCTTTGAAGAACTGATGCACAAATGATGTTTGATATAATTTTCATGAATTCCATGTCATGTCGATGACAAGCGACCCCCAACCACACTATAGTATCGTTACGCGGGAACAAAATTCGATGTCTCAGTTCCATTGAAATAAAAAGAAAAACAGTAGAAAAAAAAAAAGGAGATTTTTTCAAATTGGGATTAGCTGAGGTCCATTTGGCCTGATACACACATCATTCGATATTTGAAAACTGGAGTGATGGATTTCTTTATCGTTATTCCTTTTCATAAAGCTGTTTTCGCAGAAACAGACCTATATTCAGCAAATTATTTCCTCCACTAAATTTGTTTACACAAATAGGTTTGGAAAAATATTATATATTTGCAAATTAGGCTTTAAAACGATCTTACTCCATGCCATTAGAGAAACTCTTCTCAGAAATATCTATCGGTTTTTCTCTTCTCATGATAAAGCTGTATATAGTTGCATCACACGCCACGTTTGGTCCAATCTAAGATGAACCACACTCGTTCTACTTTGAGCCCTAATATATAATAGGCATGGCAAATTTTGCAAATTGGGCTTGAAACCTTACTCAGTGCAATTAAAGAAACTCTTTTCAGAATTTCTCTATCGTTTTTTCTTTTCTAATGATAGAGCTATGACTACACTTGTTCTACTTTTAGCCCTAATATATAATAGGTATAGAAAAATATTCAAAATTCGCAAATTAGACTTGAAAAGGACCTTACTCAGTGCCATTAGAGATACTTTTTTCAGAATTTCTCTATCGTTTTTTATTTTCTCATGATAGAGCTGTACATAGTTACGTCACACGTCACGTTTAGTTCAATCTAAGATGACTACACTCATTCCACTTTTAGCCCTAATATATAAAAGCTATGGAAAAATATTCAAATTTTGCAAATTAGGCTCAAAAAGGACCTCGAAAAGGGCCTTCCTCAGTGCCATTAGAGAAACTCTTTTCAGAATTTCTCTATCGTTTTTTATTTTCTCATGATAGAACTGTACATAGTTACGTCACACGTCACGTTTGGTCCAATCTAAGATGACTACACCCGTTCTACTTTGAGCCCTAATATATGAAGTCCCTCCAATTTCTCGTTGGGGCACCTCTTATTTCATATCACTTTTTTCATTTCAGGCTTGGTCTGTACATTTTATTCGTCTATTGGTGGGATGAAAGCGGTATTGATGACTGACGTATTTCAATCATTGCTAATGTTTGCAGCTGTCTTCAGTATTATTATATTCGCCTGGATTGATACAGGTAGTCTATCCGAAATTTGGAGGATTGCTGAACGGGGCAATAGAACCAGCCTCTTAAAGTAATTATCCATAATTAATTAGATAGCTTCGTTGGTTCATCAATATATAAGACCTTTCAAATCTCGAATTATTATAACTGTGTCAGAGATATGTATCTAAATGCAAACAAAATCACACAGCTAGAAAAGCTTTCACCTAATAATCATGAGAAATCTCATATCTAATGAACCTCAAGAAAAATTAACAATGTGGAGAATCAGTCTTGTTCTAAGGTTTATATTGATCAAATAGATCGAACTTTCAACATTTCACTCAACTATATATAGGTAGACGTGAACATTTCGTCGTTGTTAATTTTTTTTTTATATTTTCACATGGATACCTACCCTTCTAATCCCTTTACTTCTATCTACAAGTAAATACAAATCATGCAAGATGCACATGGGCATTGTTTAAGTTTTGTCATCTATAAAATCGAGTGTGTTTGAATTGAACCGTTAATTATTTTAAAGGAGTAGTAAATTTTCATTTTGATAACCGTCTAGAAGCCATGATGTCAATTTCAATAACAGCTCAGTACCATTCAACCTCGAAAATATGTAAAGAATATACTTGTTCTGTGACGGGAAAAAGTTTGAAATTTCATCTCTGTTCCCACGGGAAAAGTGAGTTCTTTTTTCCCGGATATATATCACTTATATATACACTGTTGATGTCTTTTGTTGTGCTATAGTTCCGAAAAATAAGCCAATAACACCGTCTCCAAGAAAGAACTGCAAGTCCTTTTATCTTCGCAATTGTTCAAAATCAATTCACAGAATAAGACTGACCGATATTTGAAAACTTAATATAATGTAATATCTTCTCAATATTGAGTCGTCCTTTTTCCTGTCACAGAAAAAAAATAGTGGATTAAACACGGGAAAAATATTTGATTTTGGCTCACGGTTTTTCATCACCCTACACCATGCGTCTGAAGACAACACAATCTGGAGCTTAAATCTACTACTTTTTTTTCCTTGTTTAATGAATAATTATTTTTTAGTTTCGATCCCGACCCAACCGTGCGTCACACCTGGTTATCGCTAGTGATTGGTGGTGGTGTCACATTCTTATCCCTATACGCTGTCAACCAAACGCAGGTTCAGAGATACTTAACGATAAAAGACCTGAAAGGGGCCCAAAAAGCGCTATGGTGGAACTGGCCTATTTTGACAGCTCTAAGCCTCAGTACATCTTTTTCAGGATTGGCAATATATTCCAGATACCACAAGTGTGATCCTTTCAATGCCAAGTACATCAGCAGTTTCGATCAGGTATAATGAACAACTTACATTTTGTATACAGAGAAAAATCAAAGTTGTATTCTTTTGTCACTAATTTCACTGCTGACTTTGTGAAAATATTGATATTCCGATACAAACAATTGTTTTTTGCAGTTGATGCCTTATTATGTTGTTGAAACTATGGGACATATACCAGGCCTTTCAGGTTTATTTGTGGCTGGTATTTTCAGTGCTTCCTTATCTACAGTATCAGCAGCACTCAATAGTTTGGCTGCCATCACAATTGAAGATTATATCAAGGTGAATATTCGAATAGACTAAGTGATTTTTTTTCAATACTAACCTTTTCTCGAAGGATTTCTCTGGTGAAAAGTAATAACATGTTTCTTGTAATATGTTTGATTCAGTATAGTTAATAATAAATTGATAACTTATATTTGGGAATAATTTATATTCTGACTTTCAACTTCAAACAATAATCGTTGCCGTCCCAACGTAGATCATATTATAAAATACAGTACTCATATATCACATGTCCCTCTTTTTATAAATCTAATCTATTTGGTTTATTAATTTTTCATCCAGTTGCAATCATTTATAGGCTGAATTTTTGCTTCCAAAGCTTCCAACGTTACCATTGAAGTCCATTGCTGAAGGTGATCTTGATTCGGAACTCATTTTCAGTTTTGCTTATGTTTGCTTCAGATTCAATTTCGTATGTTAACGGTCTCATTAACGTTTTACCGCTGCCACCATGTAATATGTTTGATTCAGTATAGTTAATAATGAAATGATAACTTATATTTGGGAATAATTTATATTCTGACATTCAACTTCAAATAATAATCATTGCCGTCCCAACGACATCGTGGTCCCAACGTAGATCGTATTCTAAAATACAGAGTACTCATATATCACATTTCTGATGTAAGTAAAAAAAAAAAGATAAAAGATGTTTCAGTCGCTTCGATTATTGCCGCCTTATAACTTCCAGTGGACTGAAATTATACACTCAGTGTATGCCCATCCTTGATTGATGACATTTGATAAATGAAGACAAAAACATCAACATATTGCTTCGATTATTGCCGCCTTATAACTTCCAGTGGACTGAAATTATACACTCAGTGTATGCCTATCCTTGATTGATTACATTTGATAAATGAAGACAAAAACATCAACATAAGAGTGCGAAAAAAGTTTGAGATGATCAGAATTCTGAATCTTGAACCTTCCTGTATCTGTTCCGATTAAATATCAGTAAATAGTGAATCAGAAGTTGAGAATGGGACATGTTAGCCGTTCTGACCGATAATGAATAGTTTCGATACAAAAAATCCCAAAGTTGAAAAATCTCGATTTTGAACAACCTATATCTCTGTTATCTTTTTCGATAAACCCCAAGTGTGATATATCGATGAAATCAACTCTTGAGGAAAAATCCAAAAATGCGATAAAATACAAGGTGTTTCATTCTTATTAACCTGATGACAACCTTCCAACAGATTACTTCAAAATATTATAGACCATCTTATTTTCAGCCACTTTATCTTTACATCCGTAAAAAACCACTGTCGTCAAAAGTTGCTGGGGTGCAAACAAAATTGATCTCCATGGTTTTCGGAATAATCTCAATAGCTGTGGCTTTCTTGGCCCAACTACTTGGAGGAGTACTACAGGCGGCCTTGACAATTTTTGGGGTTGTCGGGGGACCACTACTGGGACTTTTCTCGTTGGGAATGTTCACTACAATCGCCAATGAGGAGGTAAGACGTTTCGAAAAATGTATCCAAAGTTTTCTTTTGATTTTCATTCTCATTGAACGTTCTGTGTTAAAAGTGTATCGTTCGAGAACGCCGCGAACGATCAGAAATATATCACAATACTATAGGGAGCATTGGCAGAAGTTCAATTTCTTGAACAATTATAATACATTTGAGAAACTGAGAAAATTTTCGAGATCTGACCGTCAGAATCGTAATTCCGAGAATATAATTTTCACAGATATGTTTGCTTAAGCTTATAACCGAAGATATGTATCAATATATGCAATCTATTATTGGTGATGCATGTTTGGATGATAACTTGGTTTGTCATGTATGGGGATAATAAGTCTTTGGTTTGTCATTAATTTTCCCAAATGGCCCTACTGGATATTCCTAGAATATTCCCTGAATATGCTAAAAGGGAAGAATATATTCTAAATATTCCTAGAATATATATGTGCTTCAAGAAATATTCAAATGTGAATATTCCAGGAAGCGTTCATGAACGATTTAGGCACAGCTCAGCAATAAGGAGAGAATCACTTGCAATTGTATTCGTTTTTACGAATTAGATATCTGGAGGATGTAATTCAATGTTCTGCGTGGCATGTAACAAGGAAAGTAGATGTTTTTCTCTCGCTATCTACCATTTTCGTTTGTCCATTAACCCCCACAAAATGGTCATAGTACCGTTCACCAGAAAAAGGAAGCTGGAACATCTAAGACCTCCTTCCATTAATGGTGTAACAATTCCTTTTGCGAGTGAAGCAAAATATCTTGGACTAACCCTTGATAAAAAGCTAAATTGGAACTCGCACCTGGAAAAGACTATCCGAAAGGCTAGCCTATCACTATGGACATGCCGCAGAATATGTGGCAAAACATGGGGCATGTCACCAAAACAAGTATACTGGCTGTACGTGACCGTCATACGACCTATGATCACGTACGGCTCTGTAGTCTGGTGGGGCAAAGGCCAACAGAAAATGGCCCAGGCCAAACTCAATGGACTACAGAGACAAGCGTGCCTGGCGATTACGGGGGCCATTTGCTCCACGCCAACAGCAGCAATGGAAGCCCTTCTTGGACTACTTCCTCTTCACATAGTTCTGGAGAGAGAAGCAAGATGGGCAACATACAGACTTCACCAAGCGGCCACTAGTCAACCGCAGGCAATAGTCATGAGAGGCAGCAGCATGCTGGAGGGCATAATAGCTCACAACATTCTGGGAATGCCCTCAGACATCATGCCTAAAACTATCAACCTTCACAAATCCTACACGGTGGTCTTCCCTGAAAGAGAAGACTGGGCTCGGAACGAAACTGACCTATGTAGGGCTAATGAATGTTGGTTCACCGATGGTTCTAAAACTTTGGAAGGCGTCGGAGCCGGAATATACGGGATGAACCCAGTAGTGAAACGCTCATTCAGCATGGGCAAATTAGCTACGATATTCCAGGCAGAGGTACATGCCATTGAAATGTGTGCAAGGGAGTTGGAAAATCGACACCACACACGGAAAACAATAAAAATATTTTCAGATAGTCAAGCAGCACTGAAAGCGCTTGAATCCAACTGCTTTAAATCTAGAGCAGTATGGAACTGCAGAGAAACCTTGAACCAACTAGCAGAACGTAACAACGTGAACCTAGTTTGGATACCAGGTCACACGGGCCTAGTAGGAAACGAAATAGCGGACGCCCTAGCAAAAGGGGGGGCCGAAACACCGTTCACTGGGCCAGAACCGATCATCGGTATAGCATATAGCACTGCCAAGAATGCTATAACATCCTGGGCAGATAAGAAAAGACTCGAGTATTGGCGCAGTCTACCGGGCCTAGCCCATTCCAAAGCATTTATTGCTGGTACAAGGAACAAACAGGACACTGACAAACTACTAGAACTCAGCAGAGCAGATCTCAGAGTTATAGTAGGGTTGCTCACTGGCCACTGCAAACTCAAATACCACATGCACAAAATCGGACTTGCACAAGATGCAGAGTGCCGCCTATGTATGGAGGAGGATGAAACGGCGAAACACATCCTGTGTACATGCCCCGCAGCGGCCAGAACCAGATTTTCAATATTCGGCAATACAATAGTAAGGCCAGAAAACCTGGTAAATTGTTCTCCCAACGCAATCCTCAATTTCGTTAAGAAATTGGATATACAGGGAGAAATATAACCCTAGGGTGAGCCACAATAGGCCAATGGCCGCAGTGGAGGGCCTGACAATAGGCCCACTCACGTTCAACCTAACCTAACCTAACCTAACCATTTTCGTTCATTTTATGAGCTATTGTAGTAATCACTTTGAGTTTCTCCCTCTTTGTCTATTATGAATATGTTTTGTGGAGTATTCCCGGAATATTCATTCATTCGTATTCCTGAATTGTCTCTGGTATATTCCAAATATTATCTGAATATTCCTAGAATATTATAGGAATATATACATTCTTCCCCACCAGCACACTAAGGGAATAGTCCATAAGTGAATATAATCAAGGATAGAAGATATGTGTATATTCTATGAATTTTCATGGAATATCTAGTACTGTCTCGGTTGATACATTCCTCCACCCACAATACATTCAATTTAAAATAATAAGTCATTGTATTCATAATTGCGGTAATTATATTTATTATGATTATTGTCATCTTTCGGGATATTTTTTTCCTAAGCTATTGCTGATAAGATGTTAAAATAGCTCCATCTAGCTTGAAATAAGATAGTAGGTTATTTGTTTATTGGTAATTTTCATTTGGTTACTTCAATGTGTTTTCAAGGCCTTCAATTTTTCCGAATGGATATAAGCTGAAGTTGATTGTTCGATGAGTTTATATTTTTTGACAGGTTGATAGCGTATATTTTCTGATCAAAAAGTAATCATGACTGATGGGAATTTAATTTTAAGAGGCACAGCTTTGTTGTTTCATGGCGATAATAATTTCACACCTGATATTCTTGTTTCAATGAAAAGTCTCATCAGAATTGCCTGATATTTTTTGTGTCAGCTGTTGAAGTCCTGCATAGAAGAACTTACTAACGTTGTGTGAATATTATTTCAAGGGCTCTGTGACTGGTCTTGTCTGTGGAGTAGCCTTTGCCCTTTGGATGGCCTTTGGAAAGAAACCACCTGCTGTAACATTGGCTAGGTCCACTGAAGGCTGTGAAGCCTTTTCTAATTCTACTGTAATCACACCCTCACCGCCAATTCCACATAACACCAGGTAGGTTAACATGAAATAATGTAAGTAGATGGAGGATGTAGTACGAGTAGGTATTTAACTTTGATTTTACTGTCACTCTACAAATTGGAAAAACCTAATACGAATCTTCTCTCTCTATTCTACGAAGGCACGCACGATGTTCCACGAATTAAAAATATTTTTTCGTGCAATCGTATGCGAAGAGACTACACAGTACGCGAAGTCAAACTTCGCAGCTGTTACCCACTGCAACTTCCGAATTTGACATTTCGTCGCGTGCACGATGACCGACCCTGGAGGCAAAATATTGAAACACAACCTCATTCTTCTGTGAATTATTGAAACACAACCTCACTTTTTTACTTGGTTACAGAGGAATCAAAGGATTGAACTAGTTTTTCACAATATTTTGGCATACTAATCGTGTTTTTTGCGCTATTCATTAATTCGAGCATGCCTTCGCATTGTGCTGTTGTACAATGCACAAAAAATGCAGCAAGAGACTAAAGAATATAATTTTTCAGTTAAATAGTAATCTCACATAGTTATCATTATGAAATGTTGTCATTCCTTATTAAAATTCCTTCTGCCTTCTGTCACTTCTGCAATACAAGCTAATACTGCTAATAAATTGAAAATGTCTACAACACACACGATCGTCAGCATGTCAGACCAGTCCTCCCGATTGATTGCATGAATCCAATTTTCTGGCATTATTTTAGAAATTTCAGATGTTTTTCTATTAGCTTCTATCGCAGAAAGAATTCCGATGAGAAATCAGAGAAATTACCAAATTTCAAAAATGAAAACTATATGATGTGAGTGACTATAGTAGGTACTTACTTTTGAATCATATTGTACCAACCGGATTACTTCGTCTTCCGCTGCAGTTTTTGTGCATTTCACAACAGCATAATGTGATGGCATAAGCGAATTGATGAATAGCGGAAAAATACGATTCGTATGCCAAAATAATTGTGAAAAACTATTTCAATCACTTGTAAACAAATAAGTAAAGTGACGTTTGTGTTTCAATATTTTGCCTCCAGTGTCGGTCATCTGACAGTTCTTGCACGCAACCCATAGCAATAAGGTTATTATTTAGTGTCAGATCATATGGTTATATCATATTTTCGTTATGTCAAGGACTGTGAGAATATTTTGTATTCATTCAAAATGTCATTTCGATTATTTATTTCAATAATTCTGACGATTGCACGAAAAAAAATGTGTATACCATGGCCGCGAAACATTTTGGCGACTTCTCATAATAATGAGATAACTAACTCATTATTACGAGATAAAAAAAATCTACCATGTCCCTTCAGCGCTTTCGTAGTATCCGTTGTTCACTGCAATCTGTTTTATGATATTGAGTTCTTTATTGAAATTTACTTCCGAAAGAGGGACATTCACTAGCCTGTGTATCATACTATTATATGCTGCAATTTTATGTTGATAAGGGTGTGTTGAATTATTATGAATAGTGATATCAGTGTGGGAAGGTTTATGGAAAATTGAAAAATCATGTTTATCGTTGATTTGTGAATCATATCGTGTGAATTTTGTGGAAATCTTATCGTTTGTGGAGTTTTTACATGACGCCCTTTTTATTTCAGTGACTATCTCTGGATACACCGAGTCTCTTACCTCTACAATGGCGTATTCGGTCTGGTGATCACTCTCGTAATTGGCTTACTCTTCAGTTATATCATCGAAAAATGCTCAAATAAACCAAAGAAGGACTACGATCCGAACCTATTCATTCCACCTCTGGCGAAACGATTGAGGAGGAAAATGAACTCAACTTTCACTCTCACCACCTTGCCTGAAATCGGTTCCTCACACGAGAATTTGAAGAATGGCTTGAAGACTGAACGTAGTTATCTGTGATTAGAGAAAATCACGAACCAATATTGGTGGAGCTGAACATTTCATGTTCTATGAAATAGAGGTGAATAACAACAAACTTTCATATATGTTTTCAATGTGAATTAGATATTTTAGAATCCTCATTATATTAGGAACGAATCGCATCGATTCAAGTTTTTTGAACAAAGAATATTGATTGATTTACAAAAGACACAATGGCTTTTTATAGAAGTTTTATACTTAATATGCATTCAAATTGGCTTTAATAACGGTTTTTTTTTATACAATTCATACCAGATCATTTGAAAGGCTATAAATTCATCAATAATCTCCACTTGATATTTACACTTTCAATCTAGTGATCAACTCATAAAACAACAGTGGATGGTTATATTGAGGAAAAATCAGACTCAGCATTCTGTACATGAGTAGATCTCAAATTGGGAAAAGACTAGTGTCTCATCATGAACAATTTTTTTTCTGAGCTGAGCTCACTTTGAAGTCCAACTATCTTCCATTCACTGGTAGTATGTATTATTACCCTATAATAATCAGTGTGAATTATTTTAGGAAGAATCAGAATTCACTTTTTAATCCTTAAACGTTATGCTGGGCCTCTTATTAGTATTTTTTATCATTTAAGTGTTGGGTAATGGCAAAATAGCATTGCTGAAATCACAATCAGCAATCTGTTCATGAGTAGATAGGTGTTGAACCGAACTCACTCTAGACACTCACTTACTGTCATGTCTTGATGTCTTTCAACTCTTCATTGCTGCCTTCGTGGTAGATATACATTCATTGTGAACCCTTCTGATCGTCCTGAAATTAGAACCACATAGAATCAAAGCTTTTAGAAAGCGATCAATCTTGTAACTTGACCTTCAACATTGCATGCATCAATTGTTATTAATCCACTTCTGAAAGGGATCTTCACATGCAGACATATACTGTGTCTTGTGTTTGCCAATTTACCAATACCAGAAGAGGACATTTTTATGAAGAGGCAATATCAGTCCATCAGGAAGAACAGTTTTTGTGTACAATCCTCCAAATATTTCAGTTCTTCGCCATCGTGTTAATTTGCTGTATTGTTATTAATGAAAAAAAAAACAGCTCACACCATTGAAAAATGAGTCCGAAAATTTTCGAATGAGTTTGTTGCCCACCTCTATTTCTAGTTCCAAAACTGACACTATATAGAGGTCAGTCACTTACTGATTGTCGCGAATCATATACGTGTATGGTCAAAAATTGAAGTGGATCACCAGGAAATATGTTGCGATTTGCCAGAAATATAAGTCAACACATTTTTGAAATGTAAGATCTTTCAAAAATATATTTGGCATGTGGAAATTGAATTCCAGGTGGACGACTTCAATTCTGACCAGCTTATTTTATATTTATTTATATATTTTAATTTGTAGTCGAATCTTAGAAGATACTAAGTTTGAGTTGAATACAAAGTGACACTAATTGATCTACTTAGTATATAATTTAATGTACTTAGTACTAATCATTCCCTCAGGGTAGTCCGGTTGTCAAGTGTACTTAGATGAAATTTACAACAATATTTGCAGTGTATTTGTTGAATTTTTACATAGCTTTCTAATTATTGAGATTGATATACACACTGTTCAATTCTATTGAGTAAATCTACATATTTTATTGCTTTTATATACATTTTCCAGCTGAGGCCAGATTATCCTCATATTTTCTCTGCTCTGTATAAATGATCAGTTGCAGTTGATTTCAGCCATTTACTGTAACTAATCATAAACTCAAATGAAAACCTAGACACGCCTATGTTTTAAGAATGAGGAAATATTCTGAAGTAAAAAATATTGATTTCATGATTATCATCATCATTTTTTCTCAAGAATTTAACATTCCAACCTACCTAACAAATAATCTAAGAATATTTTACTCACAATGAGCCTATAATTGCCAGTAATTGTCACATTTTTATTTTAAAATTGTTAATTGATTGTAAATAATTGTTACTGTTGAAATTGTTGATTTTCTATACCATTCAATTTTATGAGCAAATGTCTTCCAAATTTTGTATCGTTTTTTTTTAAATATAAATTTTGTATTAACTTTTCTTATTCACTTATTCTCCAACTCCCTCTAATAATGGAAAAACTCCACAAACGATAAGATTTCCACAACATTCTCAAACACACGACATGTTTTGCTAACACAGTAGCTTCGTCAGGTGATTGTAGATTGTAGATGGGTCGTATAGGCTGGGAGACCTCTCGATCACTGCGACCTAGAAGATCTATTGTGATTACCCCTATCTAGTTTTGGTCCTCTAACCCTAGACTTCTGATGAAGCCTACGATTTTCCTGACGGTTAGATTTTCCACTTCAGCAGGGGTGAGATAGACCTGTTCTAGGTGGTTCAGCCTTTGGCGGACTAATACTTCACATGAGCAAAGTATGTGTTCCGCGGTTTCGGTCGCATTGTTACAAAAGCGGCAAGTGTCAGTCTCTGCCAGGCCCATCTTTTTGAGGTGGTACCTCAGAGGATCGTGTCCTGTGAGAAAGCCTGTGATAAGCTCTAGCTCTGGTTTGCTGAGGCTGAGTAGCTCTTTGGCTCGGTTATGCGAATGGTTGATGAACCTTTTCGCTTGTCGTTGACTTGCGAGTTGATCTCCAGTAGGAGGACTTTCCATTTCCTGAGTTCTCCCTTTAGGTGACATTTGCTTATCCCACAAAAAGGCTCAGGACCAAAAAGTGCAGATGCTGCACCTTTTTTTGCAAGGCGATCAGCTGCCTCATTTCCTTCGATTCCTTCATGCCCTGGAACCCACATAAGTGTGACTTTGTTGTCCTTTCCCAGTTGCATGAGTGTTTCAAAGCAGTCAGGTGATACACTGATGAACTAGTTCAGAAAATACGAAGAAGAGTAAAGAGTCTGCCTGAAACAATTTTTGATTTTTTGCCAGCAGAAAAACTATGAATTTTGTGCGACTCTACCACAACTCTCGTGATCGCCAAGGTCCTGGAAGATTATTGGGAGAAGAGTATGCTATGGAATATGAAGAGATCAAAGTTAAATTGATATGGAAATCTATACAGGAAGTATACTTCCCTGAACATAAACGTAAGATAATTCCATTTGAAGATATCGAATTCAAAGGTGCCAGGGATGCGCATAATGCGAAAAAGCAAACGTTCAGAAACACTAACTTCAGATGAATTGTATTTTTATACTGTTCATGAAATTACCTTCCTGAATATTACTCGACCATGACAAATAAAGACTATTATTTTCTTTAATTCATCCAGAGTACCTTGTATTTTGGAACAATTCATTTCGGCCATATGAACATTAATAATCATAGAAAAACTCCCTCGAGGTAAAGCTCTCGGGAGTTATTCAGACTATTAATGTTCATATGGTCTCATCAAATTGACAAATACAAGGTACTCTTGATGGAATTATGAGAAAAATAATAGTCGGCTATTTGTCATGGTCTCGAATATTTCCCCCTGTCGAAAGATAATATCCGATGGACCTGAATAAAATTCATGTGTTGCTCGCACTACAAGTTTTCAAATCTTCAAATCCACATGTTGAGTTTTACACTGTGGGTTAATCAAAGAGTGCTGACTGTGATTGTCCAGTTCGTCTGATTCCTATTGCTAGTGAGATTTCTGAAGAGCTTTTCCCGTGGAAGTATCCATAGAAAAGTGAAAGGTCACCAACTTTCCTACGGTGTTCCAATGCAAATGGATCTTCTTTAAATGGAGTCTATAAGAGCATCAGCGTATGTTTCGGTGCCAAACCCCATACGTAGGAACAGTATTATAAAACGGCGATATTGTGCATTGTAGATTACTATAAACTGTTGTAGTTGGTATGAAGTGGATTTTCGCTCGGAATAAAAAGAGTTCTTATGAAGCAGCTTCGCGATAGATCTGACATGATTCACCCATGAAAGATTATCACTGCTGGAAATTCCGAGCATAGATATGGTGGACTTGATGACAGAAAACAAATGAAAACGTCAAAATATTCTAATTCATGTACTATATAACACACCGAATTTCATTTGTCTATCTGTAGAAATATAAAAGTTATAGAGGAGAGCCACTTTTGAGGAACGCCCGATATGGAAAATTGAATAAAAAAGGAAATGATGAGAAAAAAATGAGGCTACATTGTGATTCTTGATAAAAATTTATCAAGATTCACGATATATCCATCAGGGTGTGAAAAGCACCCTGTGTGCAATGAAAAAAATAATACACAGTGAAGAAAATAATGACAGAATGAGATTCTTGAATATGCTTGGAGAACAATAGAAAGAAATCCAGAATATGAAAATTGATAAAATGCTTTATAAAAAAATCTATATCAAAACTGATGATATCGAAGCTGATGATAGTGCATTAATTTTTTTCGCCACTGTAAAATACAGAAATGTATTGACAATAATCGAAAATTGTATAGATAGTTGAGTTTAACAACAAAATAAAATAGAAACGAAATGATATTAGTTTGAGCATTAAAAAGTATTCTCCGCTCGTCTATTAATTTTAATCACAAAGGGAATGCGATAAATTCACAACGCCTTCACTCAAACCAGTCTGAACCAAATGAAACTGATCCTAAATTGAAGTAACCACGGATCTTCATTGTTCAGACACGATATCACATTAATAAAAATGACAAATAAACAAACTTCGCAATGTTTTTCCATCTTCATTAAAAATAAGTGATTATTGGTATACTGAAAAAATTGTTTATCACGAATTACGATCATGTCCATGAAGAAATTGATTGTAATTATAACTGACTTTGTAGAGATCTTTTGGGAAGTTTATATGGACTTGCAGCAGTGCGACAGACATTTTTTTATATAAAGTACTAACATTATTATTTTGGCCCACTCAATCATCCCTGCAACTACCATGATGTTATTGAATAAATCGAGTTTTTATTACCTTATCTATTGAATTAAATATTACTATTTTTGTAGAAAAAAGATGAAGGAATCAAACGGTGGCAGCAAAATGTCAAATTTGTCACCTCTGTCAAAAATGTCTCCATTAAACGGAAAAAATGTGTCCCATCCTGTATAAAACATAATCACTGAACAGCCGTTTGCATATCGAAAGGAGCATTAGTATGAGTTAATTTAGTTGCCTGAATATCATTGATACATACCATGGCATCCGTTCAAAAATTATACATGAAATATATTTTTTTTATTAAAACTTTCAAGGTCAATAACTTCGTAACGAAGTGCGGTAGCAATTTATTTTATATGAAGTAGTACAGACATTATTTTGGCTCACTCTGTCAGCTTTATCATTTACGACATGACCTTTCCGGACACCCTGTATATTTTGGTATTTCTATGTTCCTCCCGATGAAACGATTCCAAGAAACTAACATACTTCTTATGATTTAAAACGGTCAATTTAAGAACTACATACAGGTACTTCAATATTTTTTGTCCCAAAGTTTTTTGACAACGTTTTTTCACTTATAATATCACGAGAGCTTCAATTATTTCCGGAAATTTTTTCGAGAACACTAATATTTTGAAAATTCTCCCGAGTCGAAGACGAGAAAAAATTCCCGGATATCAATTGAAGCTAAAGTGGTATTCGGTAAGAAAATTCACACCAAACATTTTCGATCAATGTAAAACTAAGAAATTTCAACAACACTTAGATGATTTAGTTGATATTGATGGTTGTTTGTGATCAAATGTAAGAACTAACGTATAGTGACAACCTGTGTTTTTGTAAATTTCGAATTTGCAAGTATACCTATATACATAATATTATATGGTAAACTGTTGATAAATGATCTTTATTTATTGACATATAGAATGACATCGAATTAATCTGAAGTTGAATGTAAATGTCATTTAACCTACAAACGTCAAAAAATTTCCAGTGTAGGTAATTTCATGCTCCGTCCCCCAATGAGGAGGAGAGAATTTCCAAGAAATTTGTTTAGTTCCTATGGTAACGATACAAAAAACAGGCTTTAAATTAATCGAAAATGTTTGGTGTGAAATTTTCACTTATAATATCACGAGAGCCTCAATTATTTCCGGAAATTTTTTCGAGAACCCGAATATTTTGAACATTCTCCCGAGTCGAAGACGAGGGCGAATTTTCTAAATATTCGTGTTCGAGAAAAAAATCCCGGATATTAATTGTAGCTAAAGTGGTATTCGGTAAGAACATTTCACACCAAACTTTTTCGATCAATCTAAAAGAATTTCAAAAACACTTAGATGATTTAGTTGAAAAGTTGTAAATTTCGAATTTACAAGTATAACTACATAATATTATATGGTAAACTGTTGATAAAATTTTTTTTTTCATTGACTTATTGAATGAACTCGAAATAATCTGAAGTTGAATGTAAATGTCATTCAACCTATAAACGTCAAAAAATTTCCAGTGTAATTTCATGCTCCGTCCCCCAAGGAGGAGGAAAAAATTTCCAAGAAATTTTTTTAGTTGCTATGGTAACGATACGGAATACAGGCTTTAAATTGATCGAAAATGTTTGGTGTGAAATTTTCAATAAAATATACTCGAATAATCCGGCAATTTCTCGTTTCACACGTTTTTCGAAATCGCGTCGTGCAATAAGGATATTGAACTACCTGTAGTTCTTAAATTAGACCACAAGTGTGATATTTTGTTATAGAATCGTTTCATCGTTTGGACTTCTGGTTGAACCATAGAAATGCCAAAATATACAGGTTGTCTCATTTAAGATTTTGAATCTGATGTCACGTGGCCGAAAACAAAAAGCTCCAAGTCTCGAGTTCCCAGATAATAGTAAAAGTTTTTCAAACGTGTCTTTCATGTGAAAATTAATTAGTTCAATAAATTTTTACTTCGTTTCCTCTTTCATCAAAATATTAACATAATTTAGCTTGGATGCAAACTCAATCTTTTTCAAAAACTACCTTGTTCGTTCATTTCCATATTCTGGCGAAAAATCTTTCACGCAAATTTTAAGATTTTGATGCACTAGTGTAATTCTTCCCTGAAAATCATCACTAGGAGTACATGTGCCGATAAAATCAGAATATAAAAAAATCCTTCTT